ACTGTCCTCCTTCCTACGGCCCTTCTTGGTATTCAATGCTCACCTGGGCCCAGGGGATTCTCCCCCATTTAGCCTTGTCTAAAACACAGCTGCATCAAGAGAGCTCACCATGCTGCACTGAAAACTAAGAGGCATCACCTCATCCTGACAACACCTTTAAGACCACCCTCTGTCGCTGGACAACTCCAAGCCTGCTCCTGTCACACCTGAAAGCTGACAGTCTATGCAGGGCTGAAGCCTGAAGACACTGATCTTAAAATGTTTTATTGCCTGCCTGATTCTTCGTAGGACTCCTTAAATTCTTAACTTTGCTTTTTGCTATAGTACTGTGGACTGTCACACTTGCTGATGGGGAAAACTAGAAAACTGCATGTTTTTACTGTTTAATTATCAGTCTTGGGATTGGCTATCCTCAGCTATTTCCAGGGGCAAGAAGGAACCAACTAACCCTAAAGGGATGACTTGCCTTGCTACTTTGTTTTCCAGTCCTGAACATGGGGCATCTAAACTAGGCCTATCAGACTCTACCCTTGTCAACCTCTTCACTAAGTCATGCCACCCAACCCAAACCAGTTCAACACACACATCACAGGAACCCCAATGTAGGTGACACTTCAGGAGGTACATACCCTAGAAACCTCATTGGCTTAGCCCTAACGCAGCCTGTGGATCTCTCTATTCCATGGAAAGATGCCTGGACGTTATGTAACAAATCTCTTTACCTGACCTTTAACAATGGCTGGACTGGAAGCTGTGCCCTAGTCCAGTTGGATATTCTCTTCATAATTGCTCAGAGGTCCATCTCTCCTCCTGATCCTTCCCATGAATCCAGGAAATGCTGCTCAATAAATCAGCCCCACATTCTTTTGACTCTACCTATCAACATGGAGGCAATCAGGGTCCCATATGAGGTCAACAAATTGAAATCTGGAAAATAAATAGCTGCAGGATTTAAAAGTTCACTGTTCTGGTGGGTCACTATCAATACCCAGGATACTTTTAAGAAAATAGCTGAGCAACTCAGACTTACCAGCCAGATGATCTAAAATAATAGACTCACTCTGGATATGAATCTAACAGAAAAAGGTGATGTCTGTGTTATGATAGGAGCCCGTTACTGTACTTTTATCCCAAACAACAGTGGTCTGATGACACAAATTCCAAGGCCCTCCAAGGCCTAATAACCCTGCAGAAAAACTATCCAAAAATCCTAGAGTTAATGACTCCTTTACAAGTTTAATGAAGCAATGCTTTGACAAATGGAAGAGCTTAAGTGCTTCCATTCGTACTTCTAGACCATTACTATTTTTTTTTTTTTTTTTTTTTGGTTTTTCTCCGGTACCGGGAACCGAACTCACGACCTTGCGCTTGCCAGGCAGGCGCTTTTGCCGCTGAGCTAAATCCCCAGCCCCTAGACCATTACTATTAAAATTCTAATTTTTATAGGTTCATGTACAATTTCCTATGCATAGTTTAACTCAAAGGTTAATTGAGAAAGCTCTCTAGGACAGACTCTCCTACGTTTAAAATTTGATGTAGTTAAGTCCTGCCTACACAACACTCCCTAATAGAGTCAGATGGTGAAGCTGGGAGAAGCATCAAGAGGGGGAATTAAGCAGAAATCCAAATTGCAGCTGTTTTGATTAATGAAGTTAGTCATTTTGTTCTCTGCCACTGAATTCAACTAAATCACATGATGTTATCAAACTGAAACTTCTGTGAACGTGCTAAAAACAACTTGCTGCATACAACTTCGCTTACCACAGGGTGCCAATTGTACCACAATGTTCAGCAAAAGCTCATCTCATTCTTGCAACTACTGTTTACCACCCTATGAAGGACACAAGCTCTCTGTAAGAACTACCTCACATTTTGGAGATTGCTCCTCTGGGGTTCACTAGTGTGAAAAACCCCATGGGCAAAACTAGGAAATTTATCGGATAGTAATTCTAAGTATCATATAAATATGCAGAAAGTATTCTTAACCAAACATATGATTTCTCCTAACTAAATTAACTAAATGTCATATCCTAATTAAACAAATTGTAAAAAGCATCACAGGCCTACATTTCCATTCAAATAATATATCAGAGACTAATGAAGCTCCAAAGGATTTAAGCAGAAATCAGAGTGCAGAAACCCCACAATTTCCTTGGTCTGTCTCATTCTGCACCCACTAGAAAAGGCTGCATGCTCACTGGTAAGATTACACAGACCACTCTGGACTACTCTCCACGGCAGCTCCTGTGTTGTACAGCACAGTCTTCAACATGACAATCCTTTTGCTCATCATTTCAAGTTCATAGATTGCTCAAATGAAAGCTCTTTTCTTACTGAAACAGAACCAGTTATGCTATCTCCTTGCCCTCATATCCACGAAAAAGATCTATGGATTCCAATGAGATGCAAAACCAGAAACTGAATTTCCAGACAACACTAGCATGCTTTATACTGTCCCCAAACTTACTAAATACACTTTTGTTAATAAAAATGTTGTTCCTTTCTGAAAAGCAATGTGGATATTCTTCAAGAAACTAAAACTACATGTTCCATTTGACCCAGCTATTCCCATTCTTGCTATCTTTCCAAAAGAACTAAAAGTATCATAACATAATGATATATGTTCAACCATGTTTACAGAAGCATGGTTTACAACAGCTAAATTTGGAAAAAGCTCCAATGCTCATCAACCCATGAATGGAAGAAGCGTTGTTTTAAATAATGGAGTATTACTCTGCCATAAAAGATAAATTGGAGACAGTTCTAGGTAACTGGAGCTTGAGACCATACTCTTAAGTGAAATAAAATGAACACACATATTTAAATACTGCATTGTTTCTGATGTGAAAAACTCAGAATAATTAAGGAGAAAATGTATAACAAATATTGGGGAATACAAACTAAATGCTCAAATGGGCAAGGACATGAGGGAAGAGAGGCTAATGAAGGAAAGGAAAAGCAAAGAAGAAGAAAAAGCATGGAAGGCTGGGGAAGTGGGGTTGAAGTCAGGGCAGGGGATTGAAGGAAGAATCAAGACATATCATGTAAGTACAAATTACCTATGTAATTATTTCTAATTAAAATGCAAAATTACCTGTGATGAATGTGATCACTGTTTATCTAGAATATACCAATAAAATTTTAATAAATGAATTTACCAAAAAAGGTTGTATTCCCTACCTTAAGCCTATTACTAACAATAGGCTGCTCTTACAACATATAAATAAATCTGGATCAGGTACCTCGGTAGTCCTGCATGTCACATTCTACAGTTTACACCTAACAACTTCCATTCATTCTGAGCCCCATACCTGATAATTTATTTTTCCCTACACTATCACTACTTAAAGTAATTTCTTGAATATTTGTCATAAGTTATGACATACATTAAATTATGACACACTCTTCCTTCTAGAATACCAACAAAATAAAAAACTGCATGGGAAAGATAAGCTTACGAGTACTAAAACTATAGTATAAAAGTGGGAAGATAATAAACATCTACATAATGTGAAATGATTTTTTTAGAATATTTATCAAGTGAAATCAAGCCAGATTCAATAAAACCAAGTGATTTAAGTTTTGACATCCATTAATGGGATAAAATAAGCTTCACTTGACTTGATTCATTTAGAAAAAAATACATCAATTCTGAAGAATTCCTTCCCAAAATGCAGAAGCTAACTCTTCATGAGAAAGCAGATTTCAAAATATGAGGAATCTTGTTAAAACTAGTAATATATTTCCAAGAATACCAATGTCATAAAAAGAAGAAAACAGAGGATCTGTTTCTGATTAAGATTAAAAAGCCATTATATCTGAATATAATACAGTATGTAAATAAGGGAACCCTGGATAAGGGGAAGAAATTATGTCAAAAATATGATTACAACAATATGTGAAATGTGAATATGCACTGTATATTATGTGATACTTTTACACTAGTGATGCAATTCAAAGTTTTGAAATTTTAACCACAGTCAATATAGAAACATGCTGAGTCTTACCAAATGCTGAATGATTTTTTGGTTAAAGAGACAAGATGTCTGCAAATACACAGTCCACAGCATAATACAAAATGAGATGGCTGGAAAGGGAAAAGGGAGAAGAAAGGAGGAAGAGAAAGGACAGACAAAAAAAATTCTGTCTCGGTTAATACTGTGAGTTTGGTCTAAGTGATTCTTCAAATCTAACATGATTTCAAAAACAAAGTAAAAAAAAAAATCAACTGCTTTAAATACCTATGAAATAGTTTATACTTTAACAAATAGGATGTTTCTTGGGATTGGAGCATCAGTAGAGTATTACTTCTATTATACATGATATAATTATTTTGCTTTCATCTACAGTCATGTATCACTTAAATTATATTTAAGTTTTTAAAATACCATTTCAACTATTCGATTTACCAAAAATTTAAAAGCTGCTAATATTCAAACTTACATATTTATGAAAATTAGCACTGCTATTATATCATGTCTTTGTGGCATTCTAAAGGGCAATTAAACAATAATAACTAAGGCCGGGCATGGTGGCGCATGCCTGTAATCCCAGCACTCAGGAGGCTGAGGCAGGAGGATCATTTGGAGTTCGAGGCCAGCCTGGGCTACAAAGTGAGCTCAAGGTCAGCCTGAATTGCATAGTGAGACCCTGTCCAAAAAAAAAAAATACTCACCCAAAAATGTAATAACTAAAACATACATGACTGATGATCCAACAATGCTATACGTAAGCAAAAAGTTACAAAATACTTCCTATGATACTGATCATACATTTGTAAGTAAATTCTACATAAATGTATATTACAAATGACTAACTCTTCTCATCCTTGAGCAACAGAGAAGGAAAATGGAGGATGAAGATTTATACCAGTGAGCACCTCATCATTCATCCTTTGTAACTGTGTCTCAATATACTACAAGGTTAAGTGCAAAAAAAAAAAAAACAGCTTTAAGATACAACAATTCAAATGATTCAAGTTTTATTTCTCTCATTTTAAAATTTTAACTCCAATTTTATTAATGTTTAAGATTCATAAAACTGACAAAGGAATGATTTTCTTTTTCCTCTGCTTTCTAAGTCTAGGCACTTATCAACATAAACCTAAATGCGCATTTTAGGTCAAGAGTCATGAAACTATAGCCTGTGGGCTTAAAGCTGGCCCATTACCTGCTCCTTTCCCTTGGTTAAGTTTCATTGTAACACATAATACACATCCATTTATTAACTGGTCAGATCTGCTTTCACACTACAATAACCCATCTGCTTAGCTGCAATGTTAACAAGTGCAGAAGCACAACATAGAATATAAAATAAGGTATTGCTGGCTACTACTTTCCATTTCATGCAACTTGAAGGCATTTGATTATGACGCTTGATCTTGAAAAACATGAACATAAGAAACAATGGAAATACTGACATTACAAAATAACTTCACTGCATGTAAAATAAATATTATAAAAGAAATGGAATCATCCCTCGGAATACAGGCTAGCAGAACAAAATAATATAATGAGAAAGGAGACAAGGGATCCCCACACATTTATAAAATTTGTGCAACCACAGCCTTTCAAGTTAAAGGATTATCATATATCTTAAAATCTTGTTTGTATTTCTAAGACTGGCACAAGAGGTGGTATTTTTGGATGAATCCATTGTACAAACCAGTCTATTAAGATACACTGGGCAATGTACTTAGTTCTGTAATGGAAAGTGCAATTTATGATCCAGAAGTAGACAATTAAAATTTAATAAAATTTAATATAAGCATATTTATATTACCCTCACTTAGGTTAAGGGAAAAAAAATAAGAAAAAAGAAATCAAGTTAATATGTTATATACTAAAATCTCTTTAGTACACTGCTGCTTTTTATTCCAACCTCAAAAAATGAACACATTATAGTACTCATAAGAATGATGGCACCGCATGCTGTACAAAATCATACCACCAAGCTCTACACATCAGTGCAAAGACCTAGCTTTCCCCTAAAGCTGCACTGCTCATACAACACATCTTAGCCTTCAGCACTGCAGAGTAGAATGGCAGTCAATCTCAGATCCTAACCCAGACTCCAACCCACAAAAATCACCAGAAGGGCAAATACAATCTAGGCTAGATAAATCAAGGTCCTCAGATTAAGTTTAACAGCTTCCTAAAAGCTGTGTTTCTAATGTAAATGTGTAGGAAAGTACCATACAAATGGAAATACAACTGGCATACAGAAGGCACTGAGCTAGTGAGAAAGCCTACCTATAACACACGACATAATTTAATTGTCCATGGGGTCACATTAATTACAATTCCCACACACAAACAACTGTCTTTCAATTGCAAAATAAAAATACAATTTTAATGTATCACAAGAGATAGAAATAAAGACATATTTAGAACAGAGACAAGTACTGAGTATTCCAGGCAATCGTTTGCCAAAAAGCAGGTCACTTCTATTCCTGGCATGCTTCTATAAAAGTTGTGACAGCAAAAAGGTCCCAGATAGGAGGCATAATGAAATATTTGGGTGATGCTGTGGATGAAACCAGTGCAGAAGGTATACACACATATACACATATATATATAGATACTGCACTTCTGAACACGTGCGCCACCTAGGAGAATACAGAAGGAGATTGCAAATGGAAATAACAGGTTATCATACTGCATTTGAAGATAGACAGCTATTATCCTTGAGAAGTTACTGATTCTCCACAAAAAACAACTCCCGCAATCTTAACACTAAATAATCTCCTATTCCAAATTACTTTAAATATTTATTCATTCTTTCAATCTGCATTTCCTGTGCAGTTTCCTAGTGCTAATTCATAGACCAATTCAGGGGTTGAAAAATAATAATGACAGTCTATATTCCACAGTACTTCATGGAAGTCTTTCTCAAAAGCTAAAGTGCATTATAAAACAGTGCACATCTTTTCTCTCTGCTTTTCTAAATTTTTCACATGCAATTTTTGATCTCCAATTTCCAGTCCTCTTGTTTTAGCCTCCCAATTGCTGGGCTTACTACAGACATGCACCACCATAACTAGAAGTCAACATCCAATTTAATTAAAAGTCTAACAGTAAGAGACAACTGTGAAAACCTTGATTAAAAGAACCTCAAAATAATATTTTTAATGAAAAAAAAACATTTTGCACAACTTCCACTAGAATTTAAGCTATAACCAGGGTGGCCAAAAGAGTATCTTACAAAATCAGAACAGAGGCTTTACTGCTCTTACCTCGAAGAAAGATCTTTTTGGTCCTTGGCTTGTAAAAGAAGCTTGTGAAAGGAGAAAAAAAAAAAAAAAAGAAAACTGTAATATTCGATGGTATTTAAAGAATCTTCACACACTCACCAAATGAAATGGTCTTAGAATCTTCTCACTGGATTATCTACAGCTCCAATATGCTGACCTCAACTGTCTACTAATAATGTAACACTATCTTTAATCATCAAGCTGGAAATAATATTCAACTTGCCATTGTCATTATCAGTCATTATCAGTCAACAAGTTGTGCCTCCTACTAACTGCTCTCAGACATCGCTTTAGACAACTTGTACTTGTTCTCTAATGTGCATTTCTTCGTTGTCTCCCTCTAACTATCCACCACTGGTACATTTATTACAATACATTCATGAAAGTCAGAAAATGTAACATTTACTGTGTACACAGCAAAAACAGATTAAGGTTTCTATTCCTATCATGTCACTTTTTACCCCTGAGAGACAGTATGCCATATAACTGGGACTACTGTGCAATTGTGCCTGGTTTACATGACATGTTCTACGGTCAGAGAAAGTACAACTAATACATCAAAATCTATATGATACACATAATAAAACAGGAACACCCTGCTCTATCGCATCTAAGTGATAAACACTACATAGTGACAGTTTATATGCTTTATGCAATGCTTAGAGGGTTCACTGGGTTTCAAAATATTGCATACTCTCATGTAGAATATAAAAAGGAGGGAGGTATGAGGACAATTGGGGATGGAAGAGCGTAAGAATGGAAAGGGGTATCAGGAGAACAGGAAATTCTGGGCATGGAAATTATCAAAGTACTTTATATCCATGCGTAAGTATGCAAAATGAACAGCACTAGTCTGTATAAATATGCATTCACACCCATTTAAAATGTTATAAAACAAGCTGGTTTCGTTTTCAAACTGAAAGTTCCTGTCTCTTGCTAGCAAGAAAGTACATGCAATGATGTGGATTTATATAGGGATGTTAGGCAGAGAAGAATATAAAACTTCTAACTCCTCAAATAAGTAGAACCTTGCTACAAACCATGGAAAACATAATTTAGCATGATCAACATATACACATGTGAAAGTACACAAAAATAAAATTGTACAATGACAGGGAAATGTCATGAGGCAAAGCATATAAATTTCTTAAACTAGGGGCTGGGGATTTAGCTCAGCGGCAAAGCGCCTGCCTGGCAAGCGCAAGGTCGTGAGTTCGGTTCCCGGTACCGGAGAAAAACCAAAAAAAACAAAATTTCTTAAACTAATTGTATTTCAGTAAAATTATGGTAAATATGGAAAAATGTGATATACCTTGATGGTCATACGCAAAGGCAGAGGTGGCTCATTCTTTAATCTTGTAAAGGTCCCCACATTATGAAAGTATTTTCCATAATCACTTCAACAATGAAATTACTTTGAGATATTAGGTAGTGTCATTTATCACAATATTTTCAGATTATGAACACAAATTTCTGAACTCATTAGTAATCAATGAGCCAAAAGAAAGACCACACCTTTCTGCCTTAATTGCAATACTGGCCTTCAAATTTACATGTGAATTGTTCTAGCAGTGTAAGGCACATACTGATGAATTTCCTTAATTATCCATTTTTGGATCAAGTTATTAATGCATCAATACATCTACCAAGCTACTCTAAAACCACTGATCAGTGATCAGTGATGTGATCAATTATGCAACCTATTCCTCTATGCAATGATCCCTACATGTATCCATTTTTCTAGTCAATCTTTTAAAACTGTATGTATCTGTATGTGACCCATTCACATTTCACTTGGAATCTATGTATTTCACTTGGAATTCCAACATCTAGACCTATCATGTCTTCAGACAATAATGATTCCATTTATGCATCTATACATATTTGATTCTTTGATCAATGCACTCTAATACTAAATTGTGTAAGCCATACATTATTGCATCTGACCAACTTTGCATGCATCTTCCCACTATTGAATCTTGCATTCCACAAAAGAGTCTTATTCTTATATACATCTTATGAATCTTATTCCAAAAAATTTTACATATCTTCATCTACTAGTACATGAGCACACAACACATACCAAATTTCATTACCATCTTCCACCTTTCCTTACACCAATCTATCCTTCTATTCAACTCTCCCTAATTCTATGCATTCGTCTTAAATTCCTAGTTTCCCATCTACAATCACTTGAAGTCATGCTAACTTCAAATTCTCAGTGACAGATCACTTTTCACTCATGAAAATCTACGCTCACCACAGATTATTTGTGTGTATGAGTGTGTGTTGTATGTATGTTTGATTCTGAGGATTCAAAACAGGGTCTTTGGGCTGGGGATTTAGCTCAGCGGCACAGCGCCTGCCTGGCAAGCGCAATGTCGTGAGTTTAGTTCCTGGTACCGGAAAAAAAACAAAAACAAAAACAAAAACGGGTCTTTTTAGCTATGTACCTGGAGCCTTCTTAAAATTGTGGTTACTTTGAGAGAGTTGTTAAGTGGCCTAGGCTGAGCCTGAACTTGGGATCCTCTTGCCTCCTTGTCCCAGAGTTGGGGGATTACAGGCATCCGTCTTATCCATAAAAGATAACATATGGATTACACACATACTACAAATTTTAGTTTCTTTTGTACAGCTGGGGATCAAGCCCAGGATCATGGAAGTGTTTAATGCCCTTTGACAAAAAGTCTATTAACTTCAGCACTCACTACACATGGCATCCAGCCCCAGAAGCACACATTCCGTTGTCAAATGGTTCTTTCATATCACCCTGCTGTGGGAAACACACCTCTTGGAAATAACCAATTTACTCAGTTGCTGGACTGCCAAATGGCTGACTGCTCAATGCCTATGTGGTCCCACCCAAGGCAAAGTGAAGAGAAGTAGCAAGTCAATTAAGACGTCCCAATGAAGCAGCAAACTGTCCTATGAACAGGACTCACACCAAGTAGACCAGCTAAGCATAAGCCAACACAAAGGTGTTTAGAATGTAGGTGGCATATAAAACTTTCAGCGGGTCGTCTCCCTACCTGCCCTGAGTTAAAAGGTGAGATTTCGACCCTGCAACATCCAAAGGGCCAGTCTGAGATGTTTAACACAAACGTTACCTTTACAACGTTTAACTCACAAGACTAAGATATTGAGGCTACACAAATAGAAATTATCATGACCAATGATAAAAGAGATAATCCATTCTCAATAAGGAGGATATATGTCAGGTTCCAAGCCTATGCTTTTCATCGCTAAACTAAAAAACACAAATGTAATTAACTTGCCATGAAACTGGGTTGAATGTATACCACAGTATGTGGGAGGCTGAGCTAAGAGGATTGCTGTGAGTTAGAGGCCAACCTGGGCTACACAGTGAATTAGAGCCACCCTCAATTACACAAAAAAACCCTGTCTCAAAAAAAGTTAACAGACAAACCACCTGGAATCCCGCTGCCTCTCAGGAGCTATTGCTATTTTCACTTACTATTCCCTGTTCCTTTTCTGCAAGAAAATTCCCTACCCTTAAACAAAACAAATCAAAGTCACTTCACTAGGAAAATTAAGAAACATATTACTTCAGTTTAAATTTTTATTTGCACTTTGTACTAGAAGAAGTCAGTAGGGGGTCTGGTGATCTGGCTCAGCAGCACAAGCGCCTGCCTGGAAAGCACAGACACAAGTTTGATTCCTGGGTATTCAAAAGAGTAGGTAGGAAAAGTTTTTAAAAAGCACAAATTTGAATAGCCTGAAGATTGCACAACAGAGCACTAAATCTCACCAGACAACAACGCACAACTTCAACATGCCTCTTGTCAGTGTTATAGTTTTTCGAACATGCCCTTCAACATATTGGTTAGTACAAAACTTGGATTTTTCAAAATAGAGTATTCTTATATCCTGTGACTAAACTATAATTTTTTCAATATGTAACTCCTAACTTAGTTGTTTAAAATTTTATTTGGAATGTCTGAAATGATATTTGCATGTCAATAACTACTTTTATTTTATTTTTCTCTGCTTTGTATTGTTTCAGTATCCGTGCGAGACCGTAACATGCAAAGGTATCAGACCTGACATTAGGACTGAAAATGCTACTCATGGTGGTGCACACCTGGAATCCCAACACTCAGGAGGTTGAGGCTAGAGGGTCACCGAGTTGCAGGGCAGCCTAAACCATACAGTCAGACTTCCAAATGAGAGGAGGAAAAAAGAAGCAAAGTGTCAAAAATCTTTTAATTTAAGAGGTGTACCTGATGGGCAGGGTTGCACATATGTTTTTGTCCCAGCTGAGTAGGCTGAGACAGAAAAAAAATCAAGTTTTTGGCAAGGCTGATAATTTAATGAGATCTTATCTCAAAATTTAAAATTTGATATGGTACGGCAGTGATGACAAACCTTTTACAGTGTTCAGTGATACAAACAGAGGCTGAGGCGCCAGTGCCATAGGTAGCCACCACTGTGCTAGGTGGTAGCCTAGTGGTAACGTGCCCATCCTCAGTATAAAAGAAGCAAAAGTGAAAGTAAAACCAAAGCAAAACAAAAAAACCAAGAACACTCTCAAACTATGAACCTCTCACCAAGTCAAAAAGCCAATAGCAATTTCTACTTACTGATATATTTTCTCAAAAGTAATACACATGATGATAAACTGTGAAAAAAGTTACATCAAATGCTCATATGAAAAGATAAACAATTCTCATAATCCTAATCATTAAGTTAATAAAATTTTTTAAATGCCTCAGAATAAAAAATATTAAAACTCTACTAGAAGTATCTGAATGTAATTTCATTTTAAAAAAAGACATACCTTGTTTGGATAGGAAGACTCAAATTTAAAGCACTCTATTCTCACTATTATTTATTACATTTCATGCGAGTAAAATTAAAGCTGCATTTTTCTCACTTGAAAAAGAACTGTATCAACCTGAGGAAAAAATGCAAACATAGGAAATGTCCTAAAAAGTAAGAGATGAGACAGTGCTCAGTAAAATAGATTAGATACTATATATCATCTGTCAGTAATTAAAGTGCCAATAGAAGGAAAGCAAGCCACAAAAATACACGATATACATGATACTTTATATGGTTATGACCAAATGTTAGTAACAGTAGGGGCTGGGGATACAGCTCAGTGGCATAAGTGGCTGCCTGGCAAGCGCAAGGTCCTGAGTTCAATTCCCAGTACCAGAAAGAAAAAACAAACAAACAAACAAAAAAAAAAAAAACAAGAAAGAAACGCAAATGTTAGTAACAGTAAAGACAAGTAATTTGACTAATATATTAACATCACAGTAATGATTAATGGAAAAAGAATAAAATGACAAAAATCACTTGACTGAAAAAGTTAAAAACTTTACAATACTATTGAACACATTTATAAAGAAAAACACAAACTCAAAAATGATTAAACAGAAAATGACTGTATTATAAAACATAACTTCTACACAACCAAATAAAACACCAAAGTAAATAAGAAACACAAAATATTTGACAATAACAACAAATGATAAATCTTTACATACTGAATCAATTATGGTCTCTTAAAAATCAGTATAACAGACTATTACTACAAGGGTACATGAAATATTTTTAAAAAGTACAACATGGCTTCACATTACATGATATAAAGATGAGATAGTTTAACTATGAAAAACCACTTTTGTTGTATTATATTATCAATTATTGAGATCCAGTAGTCAGTTTTAGGAAATGGGGAACTTTGATTTAAACACTCAAGCATTTATTCAAATTAAAGAGAAATGTACTAAATATAGATTTTGCATAGTTAGCACAGTGATTCTAATCCACAGAAATAATTCAAATCCAGCCAAAGAATTCAAATTTACATAAGCATATTTAGTACATAGAAAACTTATAGCTAATATATTAAAATAAATTTGTATAATTGCACTTATGTGCAGAAAGGTTGGTGACAAAACCACTTAAATGATAGAATACACTGAAGTTTAAATTAAAATGTCCAAAAGTCATTTAAGTAAAAATATTGTTAAAAATCCCACGTCCTTCAATTCTTTAGATAGTTTAACTCAGTTTCAAATATAGCTGTTGAAAAGTGATAAAACTGCATACTTATGGAAGCGTTGAGATGAAGCCCTTGAATTCCATCACGTCAAACTTCTTTCTGTAGTAATATAGACACCATTCTCACTCCTAAGATTGAGTCCATCCTCAACAATAAAAATCATTCCTATGACCAGTAAATATACTCTGCAATGACAACTTTTAGGTCTTTCCAAAGAGTAGAGTTCAGTCCAATTTTTCTCTGCAGCAATGACCATCAATGGCAACATGTTACCGTGGGAAGTCTCTGAGAATTATGAAGACTCTGATGAAGTGATCGGTAGCAGCAATGGCAAGGGCCCCTTCTCAGTAATCACCTGCGAGGACACAATGGGAAGAGTTTATAAGCTAACTTAACATTCACAGTAACACCTATGACACTGCAGCATTTATTCTATTCTAAGAAATTCCTCCAAGATAGGTATTAGCCCTCCTTTTGGAAACTTATTAATAGTGACTTATTTCTGTAACGTTATTCTCATGCTCCCTGTCCATGTTTGTATCTCTGGGTCACTCATTTATACACAAAATTACCTGCAGTCTACACACATTACTCTAAAAAAAATGCATGAACAATCCAGGTCAAATAACATAAGGTGCTCGTGCCAATTCCTTGACTACATGAAAAACATAAATATTATGATACAACTTGTAAGATGAATAACTCATGCTAGTCAATATTACAAACACTAATCCATAGATTCCATGGACTTAACACAATGAGTATTTTATGTCACTAATTAAAGATAATGTATGTAAAAAATTATCCACCACCATACAACAAGATTATGAAAAACAGCCAATATCAATAAATTTCTATCCAAATAAATCATCTATTACCCAATCTAATGGACACTCAATAGCCCTTACGATAATACCAGTAAAGGAGCATTTCACAAAGAAAAAGGAGTGAAGAACACTTAAATAGAAATACTTCAACAGAGGGGCTGGGGATTTAGCTCAGCGGCAAAAGCGCCTGCCTGACAACCGCAAGGTCGTGAGTTCGGTTCCCGGTACCGGAGAAAAACCAAAAAAAAAAAAAAGAAATACTTCAACAGGTCAATTATTGGTAATAGTTATTCTTGCAAATAAATATAAAGATAACAAAGTGCCTTCTGAAATAGTCTGACACGGTGATTCTAAATTACAGAAAAAAATCAAATTCAGCCAAAGAATTCAAATTTACATAAGCATATCTACTATGTAAGAAAACTTACAGCTGATATATTAAAATAAATGTACATAATTTTACTTATCAGAGTAGCATCTACCAAAAAAGAAAAATACATACCACTCACATGAAACAGCTAAGGTAGCACATAAGGGGCTCTCCAGGATGTTTTTAGAAATTTCTGTTAATAGTAACATAAAACTCCTCATTAATATATCTTGTAGCTCAGTCAATATTGCAACTTTAGTCATTAATTACTATCTTTTAGTATCAGGCTATTTTGCATTTTCCATGAAAAATTGACCTTTTCACACTACAACAGTGTATGTGAAAATAAGACAAGTGATTTATTACAATTTAAACTGTCATGGTTTGTCATAAATAAAGTTTTATGCATCATTATTAACTTAATAAAACATCTTTGAAAAAAACTAATGAAGTTCTGGTTTTGTAGCTCAGTAGTACAGCATACGCCTAGCAAGCCTCAAACATTGGGTCCACTGCAAAGAAACAAAAGGACTAACTGTCTGAAATATATGGAGAGCCAACTGACAATCTCTGTAACTGTATTAATTTCCTGTGCCTAGGAAATATCTCAGCACTAATCATAAAATCTACCTCACCTCTGGTTCGTAGTTAAGACCGATAAATTAAGGGACACCAACAGGAGAGGTCACTGATGATATCACAAGCTGTACTCAGTTTAGCTTCAAATGTCTGTCATCTTCATCACCTGAGAAATAAAAAATGCAATAGCAAAATGGTTAAATGAAATATATCACTAGAATGTATAAATTCATATTAAATGGCACGGTTGGGGATAATAAAAAGATCAGATTCAACAATACATATGCCTTTCCACATACTTTTCTTGTTTTTTTTTTTCCTTGTCTTTTTTGAGGCAGGGTCTTGCTGTGCAGTTCAGGCTGGCCTTGAGTTCACTTTGTAGCTCAGGCTGGTCTCAAACTCACAACGATCCTCCTGCCTCAGGCTCCGGAGTGCAAGTGCTGGGATTACAGGCATGCACCAACACACCTGGCTTTCCACATACTTTTCATACTTCCAACTTTTGCTTTTTTTGTTTTTGGTTTTTCTCCGGTACCGGGAACCGAACTCACGACCTTGCGCTTGCCAGGCAGGCGCTTTTGCCGCTGAGCTAAATCCCCAGCCCTCATACTTCCAACTTTAAACCACATTTTTGTTACAAAAGATGAAAATACTGAAATTTTTTCACTGGTAAGTCTATATGATTGAAAGAAACTTAAAAACCCTACTTGAAACTTTCAAACAGAATGAACCATAGTAAATGAAGCAAATAATCTATCCCTACTTTATATAAAAATGAAAGAGGCTAGCAATGTAGGTCAAGGTTAGAACATATACTTAGCATGCATGACTTCAATCCCCAGCATGAAAAGTGAAGGTAACTTTCAATTTATCTCAAATGAAGCACTTTCAACAACATATTTTTTTAGTCAATAGACACAAGTATGTTCTTTCAAGTCAGAAAATTTATACTGTACAGAATTTTCAATTAATATTTTTAACTCATTTATTTGTCAACCCAATACAGAACTGTTTGGTACTCACCTGAAATTCACCTTTCTTTCCTCAGGTAATCCAGTACTCTTTGTTGCACTGTACGACTCGGCTGCACAATTTTCTTGAGTTGCACACTCTTTAGAAAACCATTGAAAATTCATTTGTAAAAGCCAATATGAATACAAAGTTGGAGGTGATACCCCAAACTTTCCCAGTGTTGACAAGGAATGATGAAAACAGGGACAAACTGTTTAACATTTCTTTGTTCTTTAAAACTCTCTATGTCTAAGCCTCATAAAAACTGAAATGCAGACAAAAGTAGTACTTCTCGTTTCACAAGTTGAGTGTTAAAACTTAGGCTCATTCTTCCACACAATTTTCTATTCACATATATACTCAGTCTAGATGTTATATAGTACTTTGCAAATCTGTATAATCCTTTTGGTGTTTAACTCATAAACTCTCAAAAAGAGTAAGAAAATGCCAATACCAAATACTATTTGTTAGACTGTTATTATGTATATATAACTATTGTTATAATTAACTAAACACTTCCATTGAAAACAAGAGGCATATGCATACACACCCTTTTTTGCATACACATCTTTAAACAAGAAGTTGATGCTTGTTAAAATTTTAATACTACATGATTATACTGTACTGGAAGAATATTTCAGTATTTTTGTTACATTCATGCTGAAGATGCTATATTCTGTGGGATTTTTTTACTGATTGATACTTCCGATATTAGAACATAAAATTTTCTTCCTAATAAGCTTTTTAAAGATTAAACAATAGCCCAATAATTTCAAAACTTTTACACACTCACACAATGATGGTTTTTCCCAAATTACTGTGAGAAAGATGTCCTGATTTAAACTTTGATCAATAGAGGGATCTTTAACAAGACATTTCTTAATTCACATTAGAGACAGCAAATGCCTCTAAAATATACTTGTAATTACAGTTCTTTCTTTCAGGTATATTTAAACTTAAAAAGTCGCTGTCTATGATACTACTACCATACATTTAGATATATCAGTATGTTTAATCTAGAAATGTCTTCAAGCAATAAAAATACCACTACTAAAAGTTGTAAAAAGCAATAAGCAAATAACTGAGAATTATATTTTTTAAAAAGCAGTATCTCATCTATCACTTCTAATATCTACATGAATGTAATAAAAATGCAAATACATGAAAATTTTGAAAGATTAAAAACAGCACACCAAAGTCACATTGATTTAGAAATCTCTCAACCTGTCTCAGATTTTAGAATAACAATTCCATTCTTACATCATCTTTCTAAAGGTAAAAAATATACCCCAATGTATTTAAGAACATAATATACACAATAACTAGTTGTTATCATATACAATAAATCCTATCAGTCAGAAGGTACAGAAATAATCTATCAATACCACCTGAAACCCAGAAGCACTTTGAAAGGAAATTAAGTACAAAATGCAAAAAGCATTTGTAAGAGTCACTTTATGATATTTTACAATGAATTATTTGGAATTTATACCTTGTTGAGACTTCATGCATTTACAAAATCTGTATTTTTAAATAGTATGTTATTTACAAATTTCTCTTGAATACTGTCATGAAGTCCAAAGAAATATAATACTATTTTGATTCAACGAGGTAGAAAGAAATTTACCTTATGGGACATTGCCTATAATGTCTATAAAAACCATCTACATAATGCCCAAAGATATACGTACAAAATGATGATTTTGAGTTTTAATGTAACAATGAAAATATGGAAAACATTACTCTAAGAAAAGTAGAAAATACAATTTAAAAACTTTCCTTCCCCTGAACAACCAAAAATAAAAGAGACACACAGTTGAAATAACCCGCACCTAACAATTTCATATCCAAAATAAAACAATGAAAACATAGAAATTTACAATGACTTATTTACAAAATTATACTTTGTGAGACTCTATTCATCTAGAAAGACTAGATGTTAGAATTACTTTTTATATTTTACTATGTACAAAGTTGTCTTGAATACTGTCATGCAACTAAGGGAACACATACAGATCTTTGTATAGTTCCAAGAGGTAGTACAAAATTGCTCTGATAGAATCATTTATATCTTGAATGTTAATTGCAAAGCAAACAAATAGAAATGTATGTTAATAAACCCCAAACATCCAGAGAGGCCAAATGATTTTTGTCAGTTTGTTTTAAAAATGCAATTCATAATTGACACAATGCAAATTATTTTATGGGAATGGGGTAAATGCATATTGCCTTGTTATTTTCTCTTCTAACACTCAAAGTAATAAATGATAAATTTTGTACATCTCCATGTGTCTGTTTTTCTTTTTGGCAGTACTGGGGCTAAATCTCCAAACCTTTTTTACCTTTTATTTTAAAGACACGGTCTTGCTAAGTTAGCCAGGCTGTGCTCCAACTTTGCAATCTTCCTGGCTCAGACTCCCAGACTGCGGAGATTACATGCATGTGCCACCACCGTATGGGTTCTATGAGACTATTTCGGAGTGATAAATTTCAGTGCCATATTAATTGCAAAACACAATTGTATGAAGAACATAGTATATTTTCAAAATTATACTTTGTGAGACTCTGGATACATCTAAAATTCTAGATGTTTAAAGTTACATTTGCCCGTTATTTACAAAGCTGTACTGGTTTGTCATGCAGCACTTGAACACACAACCATGTAATTTACATGTACTCATTAAAAAGCAGTAGTATTATAAACTATAAGTAATAGTATTATAAACTCAGTCTACAGAAGCTCTTTTCCTGTAATATACATACTATACATCCAAATCAAACATAACTTCTACTCAGAAAACAAAACCAAACCAAAAAAAACCAAGCTGCTTTTTCTATATTTTAAAATATAGTAACATAATTCTGAACAATCCACAGCTGTTACATGTGGACACCTCCAAGAGGCAAAGAAAATTCTTTACACAAACCAAGTAAGATGGACCAAGGATTGACCTCAGTGGTGAACAGCTTGCCAGGCAAGCTGAGTTCGACTCCTGGTAATCCCCTCCATGGCCCCTCAAAATGAGAAAAAACTAATCATTTGTTTTTAATACTTACATTGGTAAAAGATATTTTAATAAAAGTTCAACATTCTTAAAACTCTGTATGAGGGAGCTTGCTTTCTCTACAAGAAACCTGTTCAATCCCTTTACACAAATCCACTCTACCAAATAAAAACGAATTTAACCTTGGCAGGGACAAGTCAGCAATTAACTGGATGGAATTAAAATAAATTATATAAATTTACAAATATAAATTGAGAGCATGGCGGCACACACCTGTAATCCCAGTGCTTGGGAGGCTGAGACAGGAGGATCGTTGTGAGTTTGAGACCAGCCTGGGCTACAAAGTGAGCTCAAGGCCAGCCTGAACTTCATAGCAAGACCCTGTCTCAAAAAGACAAAAATAAATAAAAATAAAAATAAAAAATAAATAAATTGAATTTCTCTATACATTGAATAGAGAATTTCAAGTAACTTCAAAAGACAAACAAAACAAAACCCATAAAACACACACAACTCATTAAGAAGCTTATTTTATAAACAATTATTCTCTACTTTTTCAATAAAAATATGTACTTCAAAACTATGATTGCCCATGGAAGAATGGAGGGTTGGCTAGTAGAATTCTCCTTAAAAAATATACGTGATATTTGTGAATACAAAATACCTTATAAAATATTTATCCAGTGTACATATATACAAAATGATACACAAATAAACCTAATATACATGCCCACCCATTACCATATTAAAAATTTCTCTGCATTTGCCTAGTATTTGCTAAATATGAGTACTTCCGATCTATATGCAAATATTGTAAAAAACTAGTCTTTTTCTACCATATTATCTATCAGTTATATATAGTATTATCCAGCAAAATAAAATTTCTATCAACATGTCTTGTAAGTACATGATACGTACGTGTACATGTGAATGTACACCTGTATATAGTGTAATAATACTCACACGAGCTATACATTATACACAGGTCCTCTGACACTGAAAGGGAAGGAAATAAAATCTCCCACTGCTTATATTTAGAGAAATGTAGCTACTTTGGATAGTTACCTATAGCATTAAGTATGACAGTGAGCAACCCATGATCAAATTTAATACATCACTGAAAAATGTGGAGATACAGTGAACCAAGTATACTTATATATACAAACACATCTGGAAATCACAGAAAGTATTAACCAAAATTTAGAATGCCATTTCCAACATATTTTATCTGTCAGAGATATATTAACATTCTATCATATGCAATATTTAAACAGATATTTTACATGACTATGTAGTACTTCCATACATATTTCTATAATATACACCACCACCTAAAAATTGAGCCCTATTATCCAATTAACACTTTGCTTTCAACAAAGAATAATAGCTCTATCTTTGTAGTTTTACAGGTATGTACAATTATAAAATTCTATAACCAATTAAACTAAGATGTTTAATGTTATAATATTTTAGTAACAGAACTAACAACATTTATCAGTAGTTTAATTTTGAGAAATTATTTAAGGAATCAATGTTTACTGGCAAGTCTTTCTATCTCAACACCACAAGAAAATAGCAGCACTTTACAATCCAGTATCTACTCACAAAGGACATGCTTATCCCAACCTTTGTCTAAGAAGTAAATCAAAAAGTAATGTAAAAATACCCTGCCCATAGTCTAAAGTAGTTTAGGTATTCTTTTAAGCAACTGACAATATCATACTTTAATAAGTGAATCACCCCAAGTGCAAAATAATACCTATTATTTTCACTGTAATATTTACTAACAGTCTTCTTGTCTAATATAGACAAGACAATCCTAAGGCCCACCCAAACCTGAAGGTTACTTTTCCTACCTGTACATGTCTTCTTCAATTTTATCACAAACAATCTTTTGACATCAAAATTGAATGTAAAGTCCTTTGACTATGTATACCGCACTTGCACATATACTGTCTTAACTCCACATTAGAGAACTGTATACTTAGAGCATCCCTGGAAAAGAAATAACAATACAATGAAAAAACCATTTAACATGTCATTCAGAAATATTCATGTATTCACATATTTTCCATGTACTTTAGGAAACTAATGTTAGAAACATACTTTAGCAAATTAATGTTCAGCAATCTCCACGGCACAAGGTAATTATATATGTATACTTCATAGAATGGATTCTCAAATGTCATAAAATAATGCTTTTTTACACATTAAACAGAGTACTTCTCATGTCCCATTCTATGGCCCTTACCTACTCAAAAAAATGAAGGTAACATCTAAATTCCCTTATAAAATCTACTTAAGGCATTTTTTATCCAAGATATTTTTATAAATCTTCCTAAAAAACTACTATCTTCATACATTCATTTTTAAAATCCAGAGATATTAGTAGGTTTTACTAGCTTGATTTCTGGAAATATTAAGTTAATAAAAATAAATGAATACAGTAAAATAATTTCATTTTGTTATGCATCATCAACGATCATCTTGGATTTCTAACTAAATACCATGTTGCAATCATTTTTCTCACATACTGAAATAAACTAATAACATTCAGAAAACTGATAAGACTATAAAGGTTCAGAGATGTTTTACAATTCTACCTGAAACACAATTTTGCATATGCATACAAATCACACATACAAGAATTTTAGAGCTCAATCTTACAAAAGCAGGTGGATATCCCATACCTTTAAAATCCCATATTGTTTTTTCTCTATTTACCTTATTCAATGAAATATAAATAATCAAAAGGCAAAATGCATTTTCCAGCAGTACTGATCTCTATTTCCTATGAAGTTCTGCAACTGAAGCTTTCAGCTGAATTCAATGAATGTTGCCCTTTTCTTCCTATGTATTTCTACAGAGTTGTTTTATCTACTTTTGTACAGAGTAGCACAAATTTTCTGACGCTTATTAAATAAATCAACGAATACTTTCCATGTAAGACACACGCTACATTTAAGGTGCATTTTGGGGAGAATGCTGGTATCAGTGTTGTTTTCCTGATGTTCCTGGAACAGGCAAATAAACACAGATTTTCTATGGCCCTCCAGGAAGTTCCAAACTAGGAACTCCTTTCAGGAGCTCTCCAGCCAAAGTTTAGACTTCTCAACAGTCCAGAAATGAAAGTACTCCCTCTAAAAGTTCCAGAACAATTTGCAAACTACAATTTTAACAATGCTGTGGCAGTCACTCAGGATGTAGCTCTAGGTGACCTATACTGATAGAACAAATGTCTTCACATCTGCCCTAAATTACCTTGGTCTGTAATCAATGTTTTCCTATTGGTACAGATTTCTGGCGATTTTAAGGACCAGAGGATTAGATTGAAGGTATGCAACAAAACAAATGGATCCAAATGTCCAGTGTCTAAAAGTGGGAGACTTCCAGTTTTACTGTCATAAAAGATGCTCTAAATATTACATGTGTGATTTGTCTTCTATTTTATTAAAAAAGACTTACTTCAGAGCTGTGAAGAGAAACTCATGATGTTTATCATCTTCTTAAAAGATGTTCTACAAGATGCATGGATGAAAGTACCTGAAGCTAAAAGCAAGCGAACTGGTTGAAAGTTGGTGAATACACTTGAAAGATGACCTGTTTTTCAGATGTAGACATGGTACAAGAACAGTCACTTCCAGAGCATGAAGAGTGCCTGCTGTTTCTAGGAGAAATGTCTGCATCCATCTCGTTCTAGGCTCCATTATAGGACAAGTATGACAGAAAGTTCTTTCTTCTCTTAGCTGGCAAAATTGTTTTAATCCCTTTAGAATTCACAGCACAATGTTATATTTAGAGTAAGTGTTTTCTGTATGTAAATGAGTCCATGATGATATTTTACATTATTAATTTACTTATCTGTCCATATTTTTCCATTTCAGAAATAATTTTTCAATCTTTTCTTCTGATTGAGATGTAGATCATATTCATGTCATATAATCACTACAATAATCACAAGATTAACCCAATATTTTCCAGTTCAAAGAATGCTAGATTCACTTGTTTTTGTACAATTACTCTTATCCAGAAAAATGTAAATTGTTTTACCCCTTCCGATAGCAATACCCTCTTAACATCTCAGAATTTATCACAAAAGAAAAGGTCAAGTAAACCAGCTGATTTTGTTTTCATGACCTAGGTTTATTCTCTAGTGAGCTAGCCTGAAGCAAGTGGGGCATCCAACTTTTAAGGATCCTTTTTTTTTCCTTTGTAACCAAACACCATCCAAAACCTGCTAATGCATTGTACTTATAACTGACAAAATATATAACTGTAGTTTAAAACAAATTAATTCTCCCTAAAATCTATGTTTCAAGTGATACAATATAATAAAATGGCCTTGTTTGGTGAATAACCCCCAACGAATGAGGAATAAAAATAAATCAAGGGTAACATTGGACCCCAAATTTATCTTCTAATTTACTACAGTGAGAGTTCTTGTACCCAGTGTTTATTCATGTTAATTGTATCACTAGTTTTGATAACAATATGCCAATGCAAGAAAAGCTGACTATTCATCAAGCACATGCTAGGTGTCAGTTATTAGGCAAGGTTTTGGAGACAGAGCAGTAAGAAAGGACACCAATGTACCTGGTGATCCTTTCATCATTTTGTTCTCTGAATAAAGAATATCAAAACTTCAGCCTTTTAAACCAGATTTTCCATGTAATTATCTCAGTCAAATGAAATGTTTTACTTAATCTGATTTTTATGTAGATATCACTATTGCTTCAAGAATTTCTAATGCACGTTATCTAATGTTTACCCTTGACATTACTTAGGGCCAGTATACCCTCAGTAGCAATAAATCACCAATCTAGTTAAAATTTAAATTAGACGTCCAGCCAAGCTCACTAAAGAGGGTTACACATTGGAAAATACAAATTAATATAAAGTCCACTTACAAATTAATTAATCTAACACATTAACAGAAAAATTGTTAAGGCACGATTTTTTTAACCTTCCCCTTGATTTCTTATCTTCAGTTTCAAGTCAAAGAAAGTCATTATTTGCAGTTTTTGTTTGTTCCTCAGCTGCAGATCACCAGAATTAGCTGATTGAAGGAGCTATATCCACATTCTTCATTGCCTGCAAACTTGGACAAATCTCATGAAGTGGCTAACTTTACAAAGTTTCTAAGTAAAAACAGTCAATTGTAACAGTATTCCCCTTTTTCTCAGCTATTAGAAACTACTACTAAAACCATACTGAACAAAAATGAAATCAGTGTATCAAAAAGACATCTCCACTGTTTACTACAGCTGAGGCATTCATCAAAAGAGATGGATACAAGAAATAGGGAGTTTGTAGAACAAAGGAGTATTTTGCTGTCATATGATTAAAATCCTGTGGCAACATGGATGAATTTTATCAAGATATTTAAGTAGCTGGGCATAATGGCACAGTCCTGTAATCCCAGCACTTGGGAGGCTGAGGTAGGGGGAGCCTGGGCTACATAGTGAGTTGAAGGCTAGCCTGAAGTAAAAAGTTAAAATAAGTAAAAATAAAAAAGACAAAATACGTAAAAACAGACAAATATTAAATGTTGTCATTCATCTGTGGAAACTAATTTTCACTTCATAGCAATAGCAAAAACAGAGCTCACTGTAGGGTAGGCAAGGTGGAGATGAGCGGATGTAATGAGAATTGATAACCGGTAACAAAATACGGACTCATGTTCTACAGTTAATATAGTTTGTCTAGAGTTTATATACTTACTAAAGAACTTCAAGAGAATGTCAGGGGCTGGGGATTTAGCTCAGCGACACAGCGCCTGCCTGGCAAGCGCAAGGTCACGAGTTTGATTGCCGACACCAGAAAAAAACAAACCAAAAAAAAAAAGAGAGAAGGTCAAAGGTTCCCAAATATAAATTGGGTAAAAAAATCCTAAGTATTCTAACTTAATCATTATAGAACATACAAGTTATCAAAATGTTTAAAATAAATACTATGATTATAACCATTTTTTAAAGTACGTAAAAAATTTAAAGATAGTATTGTATGAAAGAAATAAATATATACAGGTATGTAAGGTATTAGGAAGAAAACAAAGTGTCAATCACAGAGCTTCATTCTGCCTAGCCATAGTTTCCCTCTCAAATTGAACTGACTGACCTGCTTGCAGGTAAGGGCACTAGGTAAGGGCTGCCAATGAGTATGAGCAAGCAGACAGCTGTCAAAGAGCGAAGCTCAAAAAAAAAGAAAAAGAGCTAAGCTCTGTCAGGAATAGTTGGTAGAGTTGCGAAGAACTCCAATCTCTGGTTCATGGTCAGAGACCTGCCTAGTGTGGCTGAAAACTACTGGAACTCAGAGCTCACAGTTGCTACTACAAAGAAGTAAGACTTGCTGGCACGCACAGCTCAAGAGATGCTAAAGTTATACTTTGCCTTTTTGTGATTTCCACTGAAAATGATCAAAAGAATCCTCTCACTACTGGTAACAACCAAATCTACTCTTCAGATTAGGCTACACAGAAATGTTTTCAAAACCCTATGTGATTTGGATGTAGTTTAAAATCTGAGAACCACCAAGTCAATGAAGTAGCCTAGAAATGTATAGCCCTTTACCACTGTAACAACCAGATCAGAAACTGACAGAATGGTTTGCTCATCATAATAAAACAAACACAACATATAGTACTATCTATACGGTAAGCACTAGACTGGGCACAGAAGCTGAGATAGGAAAGGTAACAGATGTAAGATATGTACATTTATCAACTCCCAAAGACAAACTATTTTGTATTATAAACATGTAATCATAAAATAAAAATTAAAAATAGAAAACAGCTAAGACTAATACCATGAGGAAAATCAATGAGCAGATGCAAATGATAATTCTAACTCAACTAACCCCCAAATGTTCCAAAACAGAAATAGTACAAGTTTTGTCACTGCCAAAGAGTGGAACACTCCTGGCATTCCTCTGAACGTAACTCTCTTTAACCAACTTCAGGGCATGTTAAACTACTGGGAACTTAGATTCTTTCTTCTCTGCCTCCCCTTCCCTACTCATCCAGCAATCTATTTGTCACTGATGCCTTCCAATCCTCTCAGCAAATTCCCTTTCCAAAGACTGACATTGTCATCAGACCCAAGAAACACTGAGTCCCAGCACCAAGGCAGCAACTGCTTATCTCTTTGAAGATTTTTATTAACAGGGGACATTTCAAATTATCTTTGAAGAATTATCAGCCAGGTGTGGTGGTGCACATCTGTAATCTCAGCACTCAGGATGGTAAGGCAAGAGGTTTGCAATGTACACTACATAGCATACATGACTTTGACTCAAAAATAAAATACATAAAGAAGAATTAACACAAGCCAACTACTAATGGACAAATCTCTCTAGGTTCCAACAAAAGTCCCACAGCCAAAGAATCCATGTCAAGACTACAGTTCATCAGAAGTTCCCTAACTCCTCTCACACAGCTGCACACTCCTAAATGTAACCCAGTTAGCTGTAAGGCTGGCTCACTTTTTTCAGTTTAAACAGTGCAGCTGGGCATGGTGGCACACACCTGTAATCCTGGCACTCACAAGGCTGAGACAAGATTGCTGTGCGTGTGAGGCCATTGGGCTTGATAGTGAGCTCAAGCCCAGCATGAATGAATTGTGTAATGAGATCCTGGCTAAAACAGTGCCACCCTAGCATCAGAAACACTAAAATAAACCAATCATGGAAAACTATACATACATTACTTTTTACCAGAAAAACGAAGATTCAATATAGTAAAAACATTAAGAGTCATCTACCTAACTTTTAAATGAATGTTTTCTCTGAACCCCACAAAGTTTTCATGACACTACAGGCACTTGTCATGTGCCACAATATTAACACAAACATCACTCATTATTAATCATACACTTATACGTATACATGTAACATTCACCTGCACTAAGATGTCTACCTGAGACTAAGATCTTAATATGTACAATTATCAGGAGCATGGAGGCACATACATATAATAACACTTCCTCCTGAGAAGCAGAAGCAGGAAGATGTAAACAACTTTGAAGCAAGCTGGCATTAACTTAATGGCTCTTTTCATAAATAAATTTTTAAGAAGCAGGAAGATGGAAACAAGTTTGAAACAAACTGGGATTAACTTAATGACTCTTCACATAAATAAATTTTTTTAGAAGTAGGAAAATGTAAACAAATTTGAAACAACCTGGATTGATTGAACGGCTCTTTATATACATATGTAAATAAAATAAATTTTAAGAAGCAGGGACATGTAAACAAGTTTGAAACCTGGGATTAACTGAACAGCTCTTTACATACATACATACATAACTTTTAAGAAGCAGGAAGATGTAAACAAGTGTGAAACAAACTAGGATTAACTGAACTGGCTATTTACATAAACAAATGAATAAATTTTAAGAAGCAGGAAGATGTAAAATTTGAAACAAACTGGGATTGACTGGCTCTTTACATACATACATACATAAATTAATTAATTAATTTTAAGAAGCAGGAACATGTAAAGAAGTTGGAAGCAACCTGGGATTGACTGAACGGCTCTTTACATAAATAATAAATTTTAAGAAGCAGGAAAATGCAAAGTTTGAAACAAACTGGGATTGACTGAACAACTCTTTACATAAATACATACACACATACATACATAAATAAATAAATTTTAAGCAGGAAGATGTGAACAAGTTTGAAACAACTAGGATTAACTGAACAGGCTCTTTACATAAATAAGTGAATAAATTTCAAGAAGCAGGATGATGTAAACAAGTTTGAAACAAACTGGGACTGATCGACTCTTTACATAAATAAATAAAAAGTGTTTAAGAAGTAAGAAGATGTAAACAAATTTGAAACAAGCTGGGATTGACTGATCGACTCTTTACATACATATAAATAAATAAATTTTAAGAAGCAGGAAGATGTAAACAAGTTTGAAACAAACTGGGACTGACTGATCGACTCTACATAAATATATAAAATGTTTTTAAGAAGTAAGAAGATGTAAACAAA